TGGTGCATGTAACTCCTGTTCAACAATGCCTTGTTGAAGTACCCGGAAAATTCACAGGTGCAGGAAGGTCTCTATCCCTGCAAATACCTGATCCGTCTGATCCTGTACAGTAGCAGGTACGTAGCCAGGTAGTTAAAGCACTGAACTTGGAGTGTGGAGTTCTGGGTTCTGCCACAATCTTGTAGCTTTGCTTATCTTTGCTTTCTAGCAGCTAGCGCAATTTGCTTTTCACAGCAGGCAGAGGCTGCTGCTTTCTCTTAAATCTGACAAGAAACCACTGGTAATGTACAGCAAGTTCTGATAGTGGTCCTCATTTTGCACTGTCTTGTTATCCTGCATGTAACGTTGCTGAGATTGCTACAGTGACTAGCAATAGCTTCTCACTCCCCTTTCTCATTCTGCCTGCAACATGCAGGCTGAATCACAGTAGTTAGAAACAAGGTACTTATCCAAGAGTCGGTCTTCAGTTACCTCATGCATGGCATCAAACTGCCATGGCATCATGGCAGCAAACTGGCTCATTCTCTGTTTGCGTACCACTAATTATTCTTTGATTATACAAAAAAAACAAAACAACTTGAGACATTTCAGATCAAGATATGATGTTCACTTCCTTTTGTTTCTGAACCCTGCTGGCGCCAACCTTTATGTTATGCTTTATTCCATTTCAGTGGCAGGAAATTGATCTGGCCAAGGCCAAATCCTGACTTTTGATGTTGGCAGGTGACCTTTCTTATCTTACTTAAAAAAAGAATTAAAACTCCAAGCTGTTCTGATTTTCAGATAGTTGGCATGTTTAATAACCACAAGGCACTAACAAAATCTTAAATTAAAAACCATCTATTAAGTGTCTTCTCTGGGAATACTCTTATTATGTTGTCAGTTGGTACCTAGGCTTTGTATGCAAAGGCTGGTTGAGTATTTGAAGGCTAATCCATGTAACTGTGTGTGCTTCTGTCTTGTCTTTGAGCTAGTTCCCTGCTCCAGAAAGCTGACAAAGTTTCATCTCTTACATATTTGTAAAGTGTTCAACACAAGACAATGAGGTCCTGATCCCAAACATGACCTCTGGTCATTACAAGACCAAAAACAGTGATGAATTATAAAATGTCAATACTCTTTTCCTATTAATCTTTCTTATTATTGGGCTATACACGTCCCCTTGCATTCACAGTATGTGTATGAGGCTGTAAAGGCTGGTAAATTTACTTTGAAATTAAACCTACCTGCCTCTCATTCTGCCCCCTCCCGCTCCCCGCAATCAGGAAAGGAGTAGTGGTCCAGTATGTGTGTAACCTTGAACTTTGAAGATGTGGATTTAACTGTGTGGCCTGTGGCAAAGCTAATCTCTCTGTGCCTCAGTTCCATATGTGTAAAACAGGGATCAGACTTTTCTATTACAGATGGGTGTTCCTGCCACAGAAGGGTGTCACAGAACTGCTGCAGCATCCCATTGTTATGCTATATAAGATGACAGATGACCATTTCTCATTTACTTCAAACACTTTTAGTGGGAAGATCTCCTGTTCATTTCTGACTATTGTTCACTGAAATTCTGCCAATTTCCTGGCTCACAGATTATATCTGAGACCAGCAATTTATCAGAATGAAAATAAAAGCTTGATTTTTTTGAATTGTGAAATACTGAAAATGAACTCATTCTTCAACATGTCACTTCACCCTTGGCTGTTTCAAGATATATTTCTTAACTAGGATAATCAAAGTTAGTCCCTAGCTGGGAGAGTAAGAGTTATAACTGTTCCTCCTATTCGTTTTAAAAGATTAATTCTCACTTTGTCTGGATCAGCATTGCCTTGGTTGAGGCATAACCAGAATACTTTTCCATATTAGGGGTACTTCAGTCAATGGCATAGACACTTTTTGTTTCAAGTCGTTCTTCACAGACAGTAGGCATATCCACGTCTACATGTACATTAACACAGTTTAATTAATGTGCATTAAATCTAGTACCTCTAGGGCATTTTTACACATACTCTGAGGGTGGGGAGTGGGGTAGTGCTTAAATTAGAGTGGCTCCAAGAGGTGCTCTAAAGTGCCACCATGCCTTGTGTATCAGCATCCCCACACTAAGTGGCATCAGGGGTGCTTGAACTAAAGTTTGACAAGCTTTAGTTCAAGCGGCTCCACCGTCATTTTTAGGTATGGGGACACTGATACACAAGATGTAGGAGGCTGCTGGAGTGTGGTAACCAGTTAATCAAGTCTGCTCTGACACCCTCTAATTACAGCATATTGGAGCAGTCTCCACACTTGTGTATAGATACCTTTCATTGTGAGGTACTAAGAAAATTCACATTAGCTTGTCTTAATGCGCATTAACTAAAGATCATGGTTTTTAAATGATGCTTGATGCACATTAGCCTATTGTAATGTGCATTAACTGAATAGCATTTTTTAAGTAATGCTTTAATATGCATTAAAATAGGCTAATGCACGTTCAGGTGCACATGTAGACATGCCCTTAGTGCATGTGACTGGTTATGACTCAAATTTCAAGGATACTGCTGGTGTTACTTTTGCTCTACCTGTGTGATTCCTTCAGTCAAAATTGACAATCTGAAATTAGTTTGGTAAAAGAAACTACACAGATGTCTGGGATGAAAATCTAGAGAGAGATCCTAAATTACATTCACATTTTCTTCATCCCTAAATTTTGAACTGTTGGAACCTGACTCTGGATCTAAATTTATGGCCCATCTCAAACGTATAAACATAACCCAGAACCAGAAACTGGGAAACGCACTGAATACACTAAGCACAATTCTGAGAAATATTATCAATAACTTGTTCCAATGACAGTTACTCCAGAAAAACTGTAAACCATAATCCAGCTAATTGTGCTGACAAATCTATCTGGTCCCTGTTTCTATAATACTGTAGCTCAAACCAACCCCCTAGCACAGAACCTCTAAAGAAGTGTTTCCATTGAGAACTGAACTTTGCAGAGCTCACAAAAATAAACTGGGGGGCCTTTCTAATCAGTGGTGAATTTGACCTCAGAAAGGAGCTAATTGACATTTCAGACAAAACATAAAACTCTTTGGAGGAGCTCCCTGTTCTGAATGAGGGGATTTGCATGGCTGGGGAAGCTGTAGGCAATTAACTCATTATTGCAGTCATACTAGAGGCAATGTGTGAGCAGTATGGTATGAAGTAAGAATCTCTGAGAAAAGGAAAGCAGTCATGCTTGTAGTGAGATGCATTGGCAATGCGTAGGGGGTGCATGCGGGTGCATGTGCACCCCCTGAGTGTGGCAATGCATCCCTGGCGAAAAGGCTCTTCCCCCCCTTGTTGCTGACACTGCCAGTGGCGTCTGTGGGCGATCCATGATTGCCACTCTCCGCCGCCAACACTGCTGGTGGCATCTGCAGGTGGTCACTGACCACTGGTTGTGC